ACTGTGTAATAGCGTATGTCCATGTCCGTGAACTTGGGTAGAAGCCCATTGCTGCTATCAAAAAGATCCTTGACGAACGTATGCTGCTTGTTGCCGTCCGTCCCGTGCTGGCGTTCGAACGCGATCGGCGACTTGACGTCAGAATCGCACCAGCCAGCTTTGAGTATGATTTCTAATAGATCGTGGCAATCCAAGCTGTCGAGACCATCTCCATAACGATTCGACATGTGTGGGCCGAGATATGTCGGCGCAATCTTCTCACGATATGCCAAGCCTGCTTGCTCGAGCCGTTTCAAGATAGCGTCGCATGCCGCCTTCTGCTCTCTGTTGGGCAAGTCCGAATCATTGTACCGCTCGACCAATTTATTGACATCATCTAACAACTGCTGCTCCGCCATCGGTGATGGTCGGTGAAAAAAACCGTCTCAAAGGCTCGAGCCAAAATGGGAAAAAAGGATTGGGGGGTAGGGCAATGCAACCAAAATCCCAAGTCATCTGTAATCAAATCAGGGATGGCCCGCACGATGCTCTTCTACCCTGCGGTTGCAGACATACACGGGGCAACACACACATGCGCGAGGGTGCCGACCGAGGTCCGAGAGCCACGCCGAGTGAGGGCCGACGGAACACTCCCCAAACGGCCCCCAAGGCCGCAAAAGGCACCCGAGAAGCCCAACAGAGGCCCCAAGAGGCATCCGACACAACTTACTTCAGGAAGCCCCCGAGGGGGCCCCCGACCTGCAGGCAAGGATATGTATACAAGCGTAGACACATAAACATGCATATACATGTATATGCACGTGTGTGTGCATCTTTATTACAGGCGTGTGCGGACAGCGGGATGGCGTGGTCACGCTTGCGGTCGCTGCCACTGCAATCTTCGGCCAATGGGGCACGTGGAAGCTCACGCCGAAATCGGCGCGGTCACGCGTGCGGACCCTGGGCCCCATAAGGAGCTCCACCGACGGCCCCAATGTAAGGGTTCGCGTGGCGGCACCGCACACATGTCGGCACACCGCTCACACGGTTCGTGGCCCCATAGAAGGAAGGTTCGCATGGCGGCACCGCAATTGTTTTTACTATGAATAATCTTATTAGCAGTAGTATTATTGGTAGTAGAATTAGTAGTAGCAGTAGTAGTAGTAGTAGTAGCAGTAGTAGTAGTAGTAGTAGTAGTAGTAGTAGTAGTAGTAGTAGTAGTAGTAGTAGTAGTAGTCGTAGTAGTAGTAGTAGTAGTAGTAGTAGTAGTAGTAGTAGTAGTAGTAGTAGTAATACTATAGTTATTGGGATTATTATATGATTTTGGGGGATGCTGAAGCACAAACCTTATATAATTCATGCGGCAAAGCACAAACATGTAAACTGTTGGGGGACGTGCGTCAACACACAAGCTTCACATAACGCGTGCCGCAAACCATAAATATGTAATCTTGCGGTGGCAGTACGGCAAATCACACTCTTTACACAGCCTTTACTGCAACACAAAATTATGTAAGCTATCGTGGGGGGGGGCGCTGCAAACACGCAAGCCCTCAATACGGCACACTCCGTCACACGGTTCGTGGCCCCATAGGGAGTTCACACGGCCCAGGGCCCCAAGGAAAGAAACGGGAGGGGAGGGGGGGTGACAGGGGAAGGGAAGGGACATGCCACATATATGATAGTACAATATATATATATATATATATATATATGTATGTATATATATATACATATGTACATATGTATATATATATGTATGTGTGTCTGTCTCCTTTCAAGAGAAACAGTTCTTCGTCTTGGGATTGACAAATTCGGTTTGCAACTTGCCCGCCAATTCCCCAGAACAGCATGCCTTTCGCACGAACATATCACTGTTGTGAATCATAGTGTACGCAACGCGGGTGCACCAGATAGCCGCGCGCTATCTGGTGCAATTCGGTTTGTTATTTATTACAAACGTACAGTTGCCTTTGTATTGATAAGTGTGTTACTACTGTACATGAAGAAACAGCATGAACACAGAAGTCCTGTTATGATGCTATTAATTCCGAATGCATTAAAAATTAATGTCCGAATATGTTAATGGCAATACTTCCTCAGGTGATTGAGTATTCGTATGCATGAACTGTTTATTTCAGAATATAGTATTCTCTGAATATGTTATTTCTGAATCCTGTATTTCCGCGTATGATATTTCCAAATCGATGATATGAGGTGTCGAATATTTATCCGTATACCTCATTATCTTAACTTGAAATGTCACAATGGGTTAACGTAGTGAAAGCGCCGACCATAAGGTCTTGAATGCGGTCAACACATGCCCTTCCCCGCTCAGCGCATGCCTATGTCGGCACACCCCTCACACAGTTCGTGACCACATATGGAGCTCAACCCATTGCCCCAGTGGCATGGTTCGCATGGCACCGCCGCCCATTTTGGCACACCCCTTACGCGGATCGTGGCCTCACCTTCGGTGGAGTTTCCTAATACGGGGCCCTCAGCTAAGTCGACTTAGCCAGACGGGGCGGACTTAGCTAAATGGACTTAGCTATCCTTGTTGTAAGTCCGTTCTATGTTGGTTGCGTAAGTGCGCTAAGCGCTTTGCGCTATCCTCCCTAAGTGTCAGGCTCTACTTAACTTAACCACTTATTAGGTCGCTCATATGGACTTGGAAAGTCGCCTATGGCTTTGTATGGCCATCGCTACACATAACAACCGTTTGCCCTAGATGCATCGGACATAGCCAACATCCATGTGACATGTATGTTGGTTATAACTTGCATATATCTGCATATATGTCATCGATATGGATACTAACCAGCGCGCGGTTCCCAGTAGTGACCCCCCCCCCCCCCCCCCGGTTTTCCGCCAGCAGCGGTAGAACACGCTCTTTCATATATACACATACACACATATGTGTATACACATATACATGCCCATACACATATGCACATACATACGTCCATGCATACATCCGTGCTCACAAACATGCATACATACACACATGAATACGCACATATACATATATAATCGTACACATGCATACATACATACATACCTGCACCCATCCGTACATACATTCGTACATACATACACACATGCAACTATACTCGCATACATACATGCATACATACACATACATACATACACACACAGTCATGCATCCATAAGCATACACACATCCATACATTCCACTATAATCCCAGCCCATCCAATCCACTCCAGACTATTAAGAACAGACGTGCGTACATGTATGCATGCATGAATCTATACATTCACATGCACACAGTCATGCATCCATAAGCATACACACATACATACACACATTCATAGAGTCGTCCATACACACGTACATGCGTCCATCCATGCATCCATGCACACAACCATATACAACACATGCATACCTACACACATACATACATACATACATACATACATACATACATACATACATACATACATACATACATACATACATACATGAATACATACATACATACATACATACATACATACATGCACACGTACATGCATGCGTGCGTGCATTCATACATTCATACATGCATCCAGGAATGCATGCGTACATTCAGTATACTAACATACACACATGTACTCATGCACACATCTACATACATGCATACATACGTGCATACATCCTTCATACATACATGCATGCATACATTCATACACACATGCATACGTACACACATGCATACATACATGTATACATACATACACACACATACGAGAGAGCGTGATCCACCGCCGCTTTACTGTGAACCCCCCCCGCCCTCCCCTCCCCCGGCAAAACCTCCCCCCTCCCCTTAACCCCCCCCCTCCCCTCGAAAAGGGGGGGTCACTACCGGTTCGAACCCCCCCCCCTCGAAAACCGGAGGGGGGTCACTACCGGTTCGAACCCCTCCCCCCCCCCCCCCCCCTCACCGCCAGCAAACGACTCCCGGTCCCTACCACCGTCCGCACCACATCCCCCACTGTTGTTCCCAGCACCACTGTCCTCACCACCACTGTCCCCACTGGTTCCACCACCGTCCCTACTGTCCCCACCAGTGCCCCCACCACTGTCGCACTGTCCCCACTGTCCCCACCACTGTTCCCACCACGGTTCCACTCTCCCCACTTTCTCCACGGCCCCAACCACTGCCCGACTATCCCCACTGTCCCCACTGTCCCACTGACTCCTCCGCTGTCCCACTGAGCTGTCCCACTGTTCCCACCACTGTCCCCACTGTCCCCACCACTGTCCCCACTGTACCTCTGTCCCATTGTCCCACCGCCGTCCTCGCCAACGCCTTCACCACTGTCCCCACCACCACTGTACCCTCCACTGTCCCACTGTTTCCACCACATTCCCACTGTCCCCACACCACTGTCCCCACCACCACCGTCCCCACCACTGTCCCACTGTCCCCACTGTTCCCACCATTGTCCTCACCACTGTCCCCACCACTACCGTCCCCACCACTGTCCCACTGTCCCCACCAGTGTCCTGCTGTCCCCTCACCACTGTCCCCACCACCACCGTCCCCGCCACTGTCCGCACCCCCCCTCGGTTTTCGAAGGGGGGGGGGTTCGAACCAGTAGTGACCCCCCCCCGGTTCTCGAAGGGGGGGGGGTTCGAACCGGTAGTGACTCCCCCCCGTTTTCATGATGGACTGGGGGGGGGAGGGGTTCGAACCGGTAGTGATCCCCCTGGGGGGGGGGGTCGAACCGGTAGTGCCCCCCCCCCGGTTTTCCGCCAACAGTGGTAGAACACGCTCTTTCACACATGCATAAGTACATGCATATGCACACATCTATACACACATATATGTTATATATATAACATATATATGTATATATACATATATATATATGTATATATATATATATATATGGACTGTCCGATGGGTTCTCAACCCATGGTGCATCTCATCATTTCCTCCGTCCTTCTCCCCCTCCGTTCGCATGCCACGCCGTCATCCTCCCCCCACGTCCTGTCTGCAGCCAGAGCGAGGAGTGGCGGCCTCGAGGAAGTTGCCGAACCCCTCACCCCCGGCCATCATGAGGACCACCCCCAGACTGCCTCGGGAGCAGAGAGGAAGGAGTGAGGAGGATGTGGAGGAGAAGCAGGAAGAAGAAGCGCAGGAGAGGGCAGAAGAGGGGAAATAATGATGGGGGACTGGCTGACGAGTAGTTCTGCGAAGATGCGCCGCGCGGTGATCCTCGCGCCCCTGCGAGAAAAACACCCGCTGCAGCGCACGGTGCGAGCGCGCAGTCTCCCAGGAGAGTTCCAGACAATACACCACCACCAGCCCTGGCTCGGCCGATCCTGGGCGGGCCCTGGACCGGTGCACATGTCATCTAGGCCTAGGCCTTGAGGTCCGTACACCAGTCAGCAAGGGCTGCTCCCAACTTCGCGCTTCGCGCTGCGCGAAGCGCGAAGTGCGAATGACTTCGCGCTCTCGCGCCGCCTCCCAGGAGAGAAGAGGATGATGCGGAGGAACCGGAGCCGAACCGCGAAGAAACGTCGCGCCCTCGAGGGCGCCCTCGAGCCCAGGGCCCAGGGTGGTTAGGGGGCGTTCACTGCGTTCGGGAGCTCCCGAGCGAAGTGAACCCCACCCTCCCCCTCTGAAATCGTGGGGGGTAAGGGTATTTGGACGCCCGAAATGGGTACGGAAAGAATGGGTACAATGCCCAACAACAAACAGCGGCCGCTGTTGGGCAGGCGGCCTCCTGTCTCGAATGGACACAGGCCGCGGCGGCGTGGACAGCGAGTCCTGTTGAAAATGAACCAGATCCGCTGTTGGGCAGTGTACCCATTCTTTCCGTGCCCATTTCGTTCGTGCAGAGGTAGGGCTCGCATGTGGCCCCCTACTGTTGGCGTTCCTCCGAGCTTCGTCCAGCGCTCGCCTTCGGCCGCCCCCGTGGCGTCCAGGCCCAGCGCCCGCCTCACCTCGCTCTTGGGCCTCCGGGGGGCCAGGGCGGGGGCGGACCTGCGGCCAGCTGCTGCTCCTCCCCACCCCTTCTCCTATCTTCTCCTCCTACCTTTCCCTCCTTCTCCCTCCTCCTCCGCCTCCTCCTCCTCCTTCTCCTTCTCCGCCTCCTCCCTCGTCCCCCCCCCTCGTCCCTCCTCCCCCCTGCTTCCTCTTTCTTGCTCTCCTCCTCCTCCTCCTCCTCATCATCATCATCCTGCTCCCCTTCTCTTGTCCCTCCTCCTGACTCCTCTCCTCCTTCTCCCCCAATTCCTTCGGCGTCGTTGCTCTGGAGCCCCGTCGTCCACCGAATGTCTAGATTAAAAAAGTGTCAAGGCGCATGTCGTGGGCACTGGCGATTTGAGCCTGGGCCACTTGTCAGCAGGGCGGGTACTGGCCAAGCTGATACCGCCGCCAAGAGAGAAGCGTGAAGCCAGACCATGCCATCGGCTGGTGAGATTGCAGTCGTCGATTATCCTGACAAGATTGTTGTGTGTGCTCTTGCTGCCAGAGTTCCCCCCTGTGGGCCTAGCCTAAAACTCGATAACATGCCCCGAGTGGCCGAGCAAGGGTCCCAGTTGAACTGTAGCCCCCCCGCCAAAAGAGGGATCAACTTTGCGCTTATGCCAAACTCTTCACTGTAGCCCCCTCCCCCAGCAAGATCCTGGTATCCTAGTGGCGCTGTGTGCTGTGCACTCGTAGCCGGCTCCTGCGAGAACTGAAGACAGCGCTAGCAAGACCCTGATTGTGCTGTCGCCTCGGCCAGTACCATGCTACCAGAGCTCCAGGCGCCCCTGAGCAAAACTTATTTGTGCTACAGGCGCTCCTGTTCGGATCCCGTGAGAGCTGTAGCTGCTCCAAGCAGGATCCTAGAGCTGAGTACAGCTGCAACCACTCCTAAGCAGGAGCCCATTCAAATAGCCGCCATTACTGATGACAGCCTGTGAGAAGTTAGAGCTGCAGCCACTCTATAGCCAGTCATGACAGGATCCTGATTGAGCTGCATGTGACCTTCCTGAGAACCCATTCGAGCTGCAGTCGCTCCTGTTAGGATCCTGTAAGGCTTTGGAGCTGTGGTCGTGTGGCGTTTCCTGTTCTGCCGTACGTGAAACCTGCTTGGTATCACTCTTCCCGTCAAGCCCGAGCTTGGCATAAGCTAGTCTCTACTCTTCCCTCCACTACTACACTATATATAGCGCTCGTTCTAATGCTCAGGGAATGCACGCCCGATCGCTGCACAGAGAACGAATGTTTATGTTTCTTCGAGCCGCTGTCAAACCTCGCGTGCTTCAGCCCAGGTGACACATGCAGCTTCCGAGCCGAGAGCGTCAGCATCACATATCACGTGACTGGCTCATGCAACGCGTACTTGAAGGCTCCAGTAGATGGACAATCGATTCGAACTCTTACACATTCGAGGGAGATTCTAAATCACCCCCGCGCCCCCGACATCAATGATGGTCTCAGTGAAGGCGGTGCTTTGGGGTTCGAATATTTCTGTCCACTCACGACCCCCCCCGTCGCCACGCCATCAATATTGATTTCGGAGGGTCTGGGGGGCATCTTGGGCCAAACGCGCTGGAGGGTCGCATGCCGGGCGCCCTCTTGGGATCCGACCCCCCCCCGGCCAAGGGGATGCGCCACCTGCTGGCTCGCCGCCAGGCGGCCCCTCCTCCCCGCGGCCTCGGCTCCGCGCCCCAGAAGCCCTCCCGCACGGGCAGGCCGCAGAGGTACATGCCCTGCCGCTGGAAACCGTGGCGGAGGGCCAGCTCCTCGGAAGGGGGCCGGGAGCACACAGCTGAACACACACGAATCCAAGGACTCCCCATGTCCTTCCCAACCATCCTGTGGTGTCTGGTCCTCGTTTGGAAGAGACAGCGCCCCGCGTCTCCTTCCTCTCCTCTTCCCCTCCCCTGTTCTCCTCTCCTCCTCCTCTCACTCCTCCCTCCTCCCCCTCCTTGCCTCTGCCCTCCGCATGTTTCCCATTCGGCATGCCCACTACAACGCTTCGTGGCCCCATAGGGAGCTCCACCGAAGGCCTCAGTGGCAGGGTTCGCATGCAGTTCCACCCTCATTTCGGCGCACCCCTCACACGGTTCGTGGCCCCATAGGGAGCTCCACCGAAGGCCCCAGCGGCAGGGTTCGCATGCAGTTCCCCCCTCATTTCGGCGCACCCCTCACACGGCTCGTGGCCCCATAGAGAGCTCCACCGAATGCCTCAGTGGCAAGATTCGCATGTAGTTCCACCCTCATTTCGGCGCACCCCTCACACGGCTCGTGGCCCCATAGAGAGCTCCACCGAAGACCCCAAAAGCAGGGTTCGCATGTAGTTCCACCGTCATTTCGGTGCATCCCTCACACGGCTCGTGGCCCCATACGGAGCTCCATGGAAGGCCCCAGTGGCAAGATTCGCATGCGGTTACACCTTCATTTTGGCGCACCCCTCACACGGTTCGTGGTCCCATAGGGAGCTCCACCGAAGGCCCCAAAAGCAGGGTTCGCATGTAGTTCCACCGTCATTTCGGTGCACCCCTCACACGGCTCGTGGCCCCATAGGGAGCTCCATCGAAGGCCCCAGTGGCAGAGATCGCATGCACATCCACCCTCATTCTGGCGCACCCCTCACACGGTTCGTGGCCCCATAGGAAGCTCCATCGAAGGCCCGAGCGAAAGGGTTCGCCTGCAGTTCCGCCCCCCCTTCGGGGCGTGGCCCCACAAGGAGCTCCAACGGAGGCCGCACTGGCAGGGTTCGCGTGCCGTTCCACCCTGATCTCGGCGCAACCCTCACGCGGCTCGTGGCCCCATAAGGAGCTCCGCCGAAAGCCTCAGTGGCAGGGTTCGCATGCAGTTCCGCCCTCATTTCGGCGCACCCCTCACACTGCTCGTGGCCCCATAGGGAGCTCCATCGAAGGCCCCAATGGAAAAGTTCGCATGCAGTTCCACCCTGATCTCGGCGCAACCCTCACGCGGTTCGTGGCCCCATAAGGAGCTCCACCGAGGACCCGAGCGGCAGGGTTCCCATGCAATGCGGCCCCCATTTCGGAGCCCCTCTCACACGGTTCGTGGCTCTATAGGGAGCTCCACCGAAGGCCCCATTGGCAGGGTTCGCATGCAGATCCACCCTCATTTCGGCGCACCCCTCACACGATTCGTGGCCCCATAGAGAGCTCCACCGGAGGTTTGCATGCAATTCCACCCTCATTTCGGCGCACCCCTCACACGGCTCGTGGTCCCATAGGGAGCTCCACCGAAGGCCCCAAAATCAAGATTCGCGTGTAGTTCCACCGTCATTTCTCCATCGAAGGCCCCATGGGCAGGGTTCGCATGCAGATCCACCGTCATTTCGGCGCACCCCTCGCAGGGTCCGTGGCCCCATAGGGAGCTCCACCGAAGGCCCTAGTGGCAAAGTTCGCATGCGGTTCCCTGCCCCATTTCGGCACACCCCTCACACGGTTCGTGGCCACATAGGGAGCTCCACCGAAGGCCCGAGTGGCAAAGTTCGCATGCGGTTCCCTGCCCCATTTCGGCACACACATCACACGGTTCGTGGCCACAGAGGGAGCTCCATCGAAGGCCCCGAAGGCCCCAGTGGCAGGGATCGCATGGCGGCCCCGCCTCATTTCGGCACACACACAGACACACCGCACGCTTCGTGGCCCCGTAGGGAGCTCCACTGCATGCCTCAGCGGCACGGATCGCATGGCGGCGCCGCCTCCATTTCGGCACACCCCTCGCACGCCTCGCGGCCCCACATAGAGCTCCACCGAAGGCCCCAGTGGCAGTGTTCGTATGCCTTCCTCTGCCACATGTTTCGTGGCCCACGGGGAGCTCCGCCGAAGGCCCCAGTGGCAGCGCCCGCATGAGTCCCCCAGCCCACTTTGGCACACCCCGCACTCGTCTCGGGGCTTTCATCCGCGTTGCCCCGTGCTCCGTCTTTCTCGCGGCGCGCTGCCTAGGATGAGAAGGTGATCTCCTGCGTTCCTCGCAGCTGCCTGTGGTTGGGTCCTTCACCAGGCTGATTCTAGATTTTTGAGGTATTCGTCTTCCCCCCCAGTTCCCATACTTTCCCATACTTTCCTGGGAGGCGCAGATTCATTGTGTCTGTGTGGTTTCCCCCTCCCGATCCTCGATCTGAGGGCTGGGCACGCACAGCAGGTCCACGCGGGGGTCGAACCAGGAGAGGTGACATGAGCCCAGGTCCGTGACGACGGTGGCCATGGGGATGGTGCTGCGGCCCTCGAAGATCAGCTCGAACGCCTCCTGCACCATGTGGTTCACGAGCGGGTGGACGGAGATCACGAGGTCCAGGCCCTCCGTCACGAGGTCCGTGAGGAACGCCAGAATGGACTCGCGGGACATGGACCACGCCATCTTGAAGATGCTCGTTTCCCTCCAGTTGTCGCAGCCTTGCCTGAGGTCGTACAAACCCTTGTAGACCGTTGGGAACTTCCCCACCACCTGCCGACATGAGCCGGAGGGTCCTGAAGAACATGGGCCCTGGATCTCCCGCGGCTCTGGCTCCTCGTCCCGAGCCCTTCGCTGGCTCTGGGGACCAGGACGTGCCCTGCAGTGGGCGAAAGGCCTTTGGGCCCCATTCCCTCAGGACCCACTCTGTCAAAGCGGGAGAGCATTAGGTTGGGCATGTCCTCCTGCAGGCGGATTTGGGAGGACAAAACAAAAGGAGTCAAGCAATAGTCAAACATAGCCAAAACTAATGGAAAAAACAGTCCCCATATCATTTTCGGACCATGTTTGATACTCCCCTCCTTCTGTAAAGGAGAGCAGTGCACGTCAACCTTCGGAGCTGCGCGCGCGCTTCTGGGGTCGGCGCTGGCCTCCGCCGCCCTGGCGCGCGACGCCCGCAGAGGGGGGCCAGCGCCAGCCCAGGAGATCCACGCGGACATCCGCTGGCTGTGCTTGTGCCCTCCTCCCTCCTCCTCGCGGGGAGACGTGAGACTCGAGCGAGGAGGACTCGAGTTGGCCCAACAGGGCCGCCACGAAAATGAGGACACCCGGTCCCGCATTTGACTCGAACTCCCGCTGCAAACATCCCACGGGCACTGAACCGCCAAAATTCCAGGACGGGCCCGTCGAGAAACGTCGGCCAACCCGAGCTCTGGCGAACTTGAGTCTTCCGTTTTCCCGATCCTCGGCTTTGGCCCAGGGCGAGCCTGGTAGCCTTCGGGCAGCTGCGACCACGGCCACGGGGTGGCGTCGCGGATGAAGTCAACCATCTTCACGGACACCTGGTCGCCGTACTGCCTCGTGAACGCGGCCTCCAGGGAGAGCGCGGAGGCCCGGTGCCCGCCCCCAGTGTCCGAGTAGAAGATGTATATGCGCCTCGGCGTGTGCATCACCCTGGAGCGCGGGACGACGATGCGCCTCAC